TAAAGTTGTTTTGTTTTGGATCTCTTGTACACCACCTTGTGAGAGCAATGTGTCCTTAGTGGTGGCTTTTAAGTCCTTTACTTACTTACTTACTTACTTAACAAACAAACAAACAAACAAATCTAGCTCAGTGTTGTCTGCAATGACTGGCAGGGTTTCAGAATCTCCAGCTGTGTGTGCATGGATCTTTGGAATCTGTTTTTTTCAAAACACATTTTTCTCTTGTGAGAAAAGCTTGCTCATCTAACACCATTCCAGATTTGATGGATTGATCAGTTGAATGATCGAATCCTGGGCAAACTGATCGGTCTTGTCTTAGTGCCAAAACAATAAAAATGTTGGTGCAAATTGCACTTTGGGCATTCTTCAAGTAGTAGTCTATTGTAGAGCAGACAGCAATGTCTTGTGCTTGTCTTAGATTTATTGAGTTAGCAGATTGCAAATCACACTGTGATTTTGAGAGGAGCTGAGTCATCAGCAAGACAGTTGCTGGCTCTATTCACAGAGTGGCTGAAGTGTTTACATATAAATAACACACAAGCATTTTTACACAAGGCTTAAATGCGCTTATCATTATCCATGACTTATTATGCCAAATACTGCAAATGTGGAAGAGGTATCAAATGTAGCTAATACTGCATCTACAGTCTCATTGCAGATTGCTTGAAGCCAAAACTGATTTAAGTCAGTGTATGGGAAAATAGCCAGAGCATGTAAAGGCAAAGGGACCCCGGACCATTAGGTCCAGTCGTGACCGACTCTGGGGTTGCGGCACTCATCTGGCTTTATTGGCTGAGGGAGCCGGCGTACAGCTTCCGGGTCATGTGGCCAGCATGACTAAGCCACTTCTGGCAAACCAGAGCAGTGCATGGAAACGCCGTTTACCTTCCCACCGGAGCAGTACTTATTTATCTACTTGCACTTTGACATGCTTTCAAACTGCTAGGTTGGCAGGAGCAGGGACCAAGCAACGGGAGCTCACCCCATCACAGGGATTCGAACTGCCGACCTTCTGATCAGCAAGTCCTAGGCTCTGTGGTTTAACCCACAGCACCACCCGTGTCCCTGGAGCATATAAAGCAAAGGGCAAAAGGGAGATCCAGGATTGGGGATGTGGGAGATGGGATGCCCATGCAGCTATCTCAAGGACAGAAGCTGGTTGGGGTAGAGGGACAAGATAGAACGAGCAAATGAAACTATACTTAACAGTAACTTAACAGTAAACTCTGAAATGCCCTTACCTGTCCAGGCAGATTGGGGCAAAGAGGGAGCAGAGGAAGATCCTGGCATCCGGATGGCACTCTCTGGCTAACAAGGGCAGCCAGCTGGTGGATTGCTGGATTGCTTCAGCCATAGTCTCATGGTCCAGCAGGTTGGGGAGTCTCATCTCAGTGTACCCAATGTCATGACACAAAGCCATGCTTCTTGGAATCAATGTGCATATGGAAGAGCTTCTTCTGTAGCTTCCAAAACCCCCCGGGAAGTCCCAGATTAGCAGATAACCCAAAAGGACAAGAAGCGGCTGTTGTGTGCCCGGCATCGTGGGATGGTGGTGATGTGCTGTTTTCCTCATCACTCCGAACATTGCCCCTCCCCAGCAAAATGTGACCGATTAAAATTCTGCCTTCCCAAAGGGGAATCTGGACTGAGGGGTTTCCTGGTCGGGTTGTGGTTTATTATAGCAGAGAGGCCACCCCTGTATTCGTGCATTCTCATTAAGCCCGATTGTTTGCCTTTTTTCAGAGGTTTTGGCTTAGGCTAGCAGGTGTTGAAATGAGGGCAGTCAAATCAGCTTGAATGGTTCCCCCCTACCAATATCTTGGAGTTCTGATTGAATCATTGTTTGAGACTCCCTCAGGCCCCACCCCCTTGCCCCTACCCAGGGATTAGTCATTATTTTCTAAACACCGCTTGTTTCCCTCTCCATTGTGTTTTGTGGCAAAGCAATCACAAAGTTAATTAAGAGACATTTGTTGAGCTCCAGCCATTGTTTAAAGAGGCAAGGAGGTGGGGAGTGCCAGCCCCACGGATTCTGGTTGTTAGCTGTTTTGGAGGCATTTCCCCCCAGTTTGGGTAGTTTTAACATTGGGGGTCATTGTTTACACACAGGATGTAATTGGCAAACTTTTTTATCTTCTAACCATGCCACAGGAAATTAATTGTGGATGGTGGTGTACTTCTTATTTTGGCATGAAGTGAGCTGCTGTGAAACACGAGTGGATAGCTCTATTCCTGGGTAATTGTCGAAAACGTTTATTGTCATCTCATTGGAGTTTAATGTAGGTCTCCTAGAGCCTTAGGGGGCATTGCTTGTTCTGTTGGCTCATTGTTAATTTGTTTTATGCCACTCTGACTAATAGCTGGGGGTAGCTGAGGAGAGGATTACACGCTCCTTGTAACGGAAAGCGTTCTCTGTTAAGGGTTAACGTGGCCATAGCCAGTTGCGCGCTCTGCTTTTCTGTTTCCCATGAGGCAGGTAGCAGCCTTTCAACTTTCCTAGCTCGGTGCCAAGTAAAATCTCAGTTAAAATTTTTATCAAGATGCACGAGGAATTCATCTTTGTGCATCTCACTTCTTCGAATGTAGATTAGGAGATAAAATGCTTGGTTTAGATCTGAGTTCAATTTCTGCATCCATCAAGGAATTGCAGAAGTTGCCACCCGCAAGCCCCGCTCACCAAGTAGGAATACAGTCACACCTCGGGATAAATACACTTCAGGTTGAGCGTGTTCGGGTTGCGCTCCGCGGTGACCCGGAAGTAATGGAGTGCGTTACTTCTGGGTTTTGCCACTTGCACATGTGCAGATGGTCAAAATGACGTCACACACATGCGCGGAAGCCGTGAGACGCGACCCACTGCCATGTCTTACGTTATGTTCAGGATGCGAATGGGGCTCCGGAACGGATCCCGTTCACATCCCAAGGTACCACTGTAGTTACGATCAGGGGTCAGCAAGGTTTACCTCGCCTGGGCTGGTTCACTCCAGCAGAGATCCCTCTGTGGGCTGGATTGTGCGCGCATGTGCGCACAACCGCAATTTCAGGCGTCTGCGTCTCCACAGATGCAATTTCTGGCATCGTAGAGGTGAGTCCCTGCACCATGGGGCGTCGGTTTAGTGCAACATGCGGGGACTTGCCGGTCAGATCAGGGGCGGCTTGTGGGCCGGTTAAATGACCCCCGTGGGCCACAGGTTGCCTACCCTTGGTTAAGATGCATTTCATGGGATAGTCTTGAGGATGAACAAAATAAAAACAGCAAAGCAATAAAAAGTGCCAAATTTTAATAGTGCCTTTTGTTTAAATCTTAATACCAGGCAGAGGAATTCTGTATATGCCAATCATGGGCGGGGGTGGCGGGGAGAAATGTCACCTCCCCCCTCTTGGAGCATGCAGTGTGCTTGCTCTGTGTGAGAGGGGAAAATACAGAACACAGGATATCCAAAAATGGCTTTAAAATTCCAAGCAAGCCCCCAGTGTTCTTGGAAACACCGCCAAAGTTCATCAGTGAGCTAGTGATGATGCCCACATGCTGCCTACACAGGGGGAGGGCAGAGAACCTCTTAACATACTCCTGCATTACGGAGTGGTATTCACCCAGACCTTTTGAAATGAATGCACCTAACTTAGCCTTGTTCATTAATTTCAGTGGTCCTCTCTGAGTAAAACATAGCTGAATACCACCCACAGTGCAGCACCCATAATCCACCAGCCCTGTGACTCAGGCAGCAGCAGCCCTTTCCACTGCCAGTCCCCAGGCATCCCTTCCAGAGAGGAGTCGGATTCCTCTCGTGCTGCTTACAACAACAGCTTGGGGGCACAAGGCAAGGCTGGGATGACGAACCTTTTCCAGCGTGGTGCTGCATTCCTTCATGTGTGGAGTGGGAGCAGCTTGCCAATGACGCACATGGCCAGAGGCAAAACACTGGGCAGACCACTGGATGTGGCTGTTCTCTGTACAGCAAGCTGCATTCTTCCAGCCATACAGTAGTTAGAAGGTTCTGTGCACACCCTTATCTCTCCTTCCTTCATCCAGGCAAGCGAAAGGCATCAGAGTTCAAGGACACATTCCAGCCATGCCAGAGCCCTACAGGAGGATGCTGAGCACAGCTGGGGATGTGTGCAACTTGAAGAGAGGGGTGTGTGGCCTGGGGGAAATCCCATGGGCTAGACAGGCAGGCCTGGTGGACCACCCTGGACCTGAGGATCCTCATCCCTGCATTATCAGTCGACATTTATTTGCAGTCAACGGACCGTTAGAATGTTTTATAACATCTCTGGGTTTTACAACATCCTTGTGTTGAGACCCACCCACAGAGCACCCTGGGCAGGAGGCCTGCAGAGCAGGAACGCAACCCTCTTGGGACAAGGACAATAGACTTTTGCCAGTGAACTGAAGGAGCAGCACACGCAGCAAGTGGAGACGTTGACAGCAGCCGCCTCCAGGGGCTCACTCAGTAGGGCAAGAAGTAGGGAAGCAGGAGAAGGAAGTTTGAGCCCCACCAGGAGAAGCAAATGTAGCTCCACTCACATGCTCGGTCAAAAGCAATTGTGTTAGGGGCAAGAGAGGTTGAGACTCCAAACCCACAGGCAGTATAATCACCACAGAGCACTTCCCTTCCCCATCCCCTCAAGCAGCAAGCAGTTGGACAAATCATGGAGCAGTCATATTCCCCAGCCCAAAGTATAGATACCAGGAGGGGATCTAGCCAGGTGGAACAGCTTACATTTCATGTGCAGAGGTCCAAGGTTCAAATCAGGGAAATAATCTTTAGGCAGGCCTCCTCCCTATGAATTGAAAACGTTTTTGGTTTGGCAAGCATGTGGTTTAGTTCCCTGTGTCTGTTTTTAAAATTTTCATTGATTCTATCAAAGATGGCGGTTATATGTGTATTAGTTTCTTGTTAATATTCTTCCCTTGCAATGCGAAAATGCTAAGAAAGCTGCTTGTGTTTTTTGTTCTTCACCTTTTGATAAACAAATTCACTTTTCTCTCCTGGTAGAAATTCCAGACTTCCTGAGTGAGGATGAATGCAAGTTAATTATCCACTTGGCTCAGCTGAAAGGGCTGCAGAAAAGTCAGATTCTGCCCACAGATGACTACGAGGAAGCAATCGAAATGATAGATATCAGCCAGATGGATATATTTAATCTACTGGACCACAACCAGGATGGACACCTGCAGCTCAAGGAGGTATTGAGAAGAGCATGGGTTAATATTCTTGATTCATAACGCCTAACATTTATTCTCCTTATTGGCAAACTCTTAGCTGTCATATCATTGAATCCCAGCTTTTCAGCATCTGTTCTTGTTTGTTTAGGTTTCTTAGATGCGCTATTAACTTCTTGCTCCCATCATTAATTTGCCAGCTTTCTTGGTTTTCAGTTACTTTTCCAAGTTTTTGAATAATAAAGTTTGACAATTGTTAGAATATATAAAACTTATGCTCGCTTATATGTGGATCTTAAACCTTTAACAACATTTAATTGAACACAGCTGGATTGATTGCCAAATCAGGCTGAAAAAAAATAATTATCTGTGCCCTTACCATTCTCCAGTACTTTATTGTCCTTCTGGAAGCCCACTGCATATGGCCAGATGTAGTGCTAAACCATAGTATAAGTGCTATGGGAACAAGCATAGGCTTCCCCTGGATTTTCACCCACCCACCCTGCAACACAGTACACGTTCTCCCAAGTACAGTATTTGTGTGCGTGGATATACACTGGATTCAGTTTTACATTCTCGCCCATGGTTGCCAAGAAAGCAAACTCTTTGCAATTTCAGGTACTGACACACACCCGTCTAGGAAACGGCAGGTGGATGACGCCTGAGAGTATCCGGGAGATGTACTCTGCCGTGAAAGCAGACCCAGATGGCAATGGTGAGATTAACACTGCCTTCTGATAGACTGTGCATTGTAGCTTTCCTAATTGTTTGTTTGTTTGTTGTTTTGTGTATATTGAGGATGCTTAAATGCCCCAATGGATGTGTTGTTGTGTATTTTAATGATGTGTTGATTGTATAGTTGTAGGCCACTTAGAAGCCGTTTGGGCATGTAAGCAGTATATAAATTAATATAGGATTATAGGCACGTGCAGATTGGGGCTTTAGTTTCTGCATGAAGGGGGATTCCGGGTCATTGGAATTGCGACCAAGAAGGCCCTGCTGCATCTTTCCACCCCGCCCCGTAAAGGTAAAGGGACCCCTGACCATTAGGTCCAGTCGTGGCCAACTGGGATTGCGGCGCTCATCTCGCTTTACTGGTCGAGGGAGCCGGCGTACAACTTCTGGGCCATGTGGCCAGCATGACTAAGCTGCTTCTGGCAAACCAGAGCAGTGCACGGAAATGCCGTTTACCTTCCCGCTGGAGCGGTACCTATTTATCTACTTGCACTTGGATGTGCTTTCGAACTGCTAGGTTGGCAGGAGCAGGGACAGAGCAACGGGAGCTCACCCCATTGCGGGGATTCGAACCGCTGACCTTCTGATCGGCAAGTCCTAGGCTCTGTGGTTTAACCCACAGCGCCACCCCGCCCCATAACACACCACAAATAGAAAGAAGTTTCATATGGAGGGAGAAAGGCATTGCCTGAGGCAGGCTGGGCAAGGTATAAATGCAGCGGTAATGTGTACAGTGTGCATACAAAATCATATATTTGTTTTGCTTCAATAGTGAAAGAGTTGCCTGGAGATGTAGTATGCTTCTCAGCATGCACTCCACCAGCACAGAAGGTCCACTCTTTTGAGACAGTGCCTTTTTGTCTGCTTCTTGCTGGGCAGTTGGAAGCAGAGGTCAATTTTCTCCATCAGATTTCCCTCCAGCCCCTCAGCTTTAGGCTAGTGGTTCGGTGCTTCCAGGAGCCTTCCAAGCATCCCGCTGGCCTCTTCAGACCTCCTGCTGCCCGGATGTGCGCTGCGATCTCTCCTGCTCTAATTAGAGTGCCTTCAAGTTGAACGCCTCTCCGTTTCCTAATCAAATTAAGTCAGCGGGCAGAGTGCACCCGCTCACTGCCAGGTTGCCTGATGATCTGCACGGCCCTGGAGAGTTTGCTTTGGAGTGGGAAAGAGCACTTTGGTGAATGGAGGACGGGGCTCCAAATCCGGTGTGTAAGCCCTCGCCCTGGTGCCCTCTGGGCTTGTGACGTCTTTGGCAGAGACCAGGGAGGATGCACTGTTTGGTTTTTTCAGCACTGTAAACACCACTGAACTAAAGAGCTTCAATTAAGGTCTCGGTGCCCCGTCTAGGGTGTCCTCACTTTCTGAGGGCTGCTGTTTCCATTGTAAGCAACGTGGCAGCAAGAAAGCCCAAGGGTCATAACCTGGATGTGGTGATAGATCATGGAAGGCTGAAGCTGATGATGGAATAGTGGGTAGAAAATGTGTGCGTGCACTGGAAATAAAGGATGATCATGGCTGTCCTAAGCTGACCTCTCCTCCCAAATCTATTCCTTCGCTTAAGGGAATTAAGTGTAGACTAGGACTGTTGCTCTGTTGGTGTTTGTGTGTACATGGCAATTTGCTTAGAGTTTAGCGTCTAGAACAAAATTGGGGTTTATGTTTGTTTTTAAAACCTTTAGCCTTTCTGGTGGGGAGGAGGCTGAAACACAAACATGGAAGTGTCTGTAGGACTCCAGCACTCAAGGGCAGTGCTGCTATAACCTACATTGCTGTCCCATCATCTAAGCCTCTAATCATGTCCCTTTTTCTCCAAAATATCTATTGTGCCCCCAGTACTCCCTAGAGAGGCATATTTGTTTGCCCAGTACACAGAGAAAGCATTTGGGTGCTCCCTGTATATGATGCTCCAATTTATTATGCACATACAATGGTAGTTAGTTAGTTAGTTAGTTAGTTAGTTAGTTAGTTAGCCAGACTTGTAGCTTTCAGTGTTTCTCATTCATTGTTAGACTTGCCAGTTTCCTATTTTAGTTACTCATGTCTGCACAGCATTTGAGCCACTAATGCCAAACTTGCAGTACAGTACTGAAGTATAGGACCAATTCAGATATCTCAGCTTATTATGCCGAGATACACACAAGTCTTGTGCCTGAGGACTCTGTCCTTGCAGAGTCCCTTCTCACCTCCCTTCTTCATGTGCTGTGGTTGAACACACACACACACACACACACACACACACACACACACACAATGTGGATTAAACCACAGAGCCTAGGGCTTGCCGATCAGTCCTTACAATGTGTTTAAAACCAAAATCGCATTTGGGTAGAAACTGTTTCTCAAGTGGCTAGTCCTAGTCTTTATAACCATGTACCTTCTTCCAGAAGGCAGAAGCTGAAAGAGATCATTTTCAGAGGTACCACAAGCGAACATTGAAACAGGCAAACCTTTTCTGTCCTCCATATATTTTTCATGTCAGAAGCATGACTTAGTTCCATTACCTTGCGATACGCAATGGAGAGCCAGCATGGTTCAGTGCCTTATGTGTACATCTTGGTGTCTTCATGATTTTGGGAGCAGTCATAATGCAAATGATTCCGGGGCATGCACTGCTGATCTTCAGTTGTGTTTTGGGTCCCTCAGTGCTCACCTCTAGTATTTGTAACCTGGAAGCTGTGAACTAGGTGCCAGCCTCTTCATTTGGAAGGGCATTCTTCCCCTTTGGTGGTCTTTCTGCAGTCAAGCAATGCCTAATTAAACTGCCATTCAGAACCTTCTAGACCTCTAGCTGGGAAATAGGCACTCTGGCTCCCCTCAGCGAAAAAGTCACGGTTGTGTTGTCACTTTCCAAGAGGAGGGGAAAGAGCCGTTCCACTCAGTTCTCCACCGTCTGCTGTGACAGCAGCAGTAGGAATCTTTTTCTTTGATGCGGTTTTGTCTTATTTCCCCCCTCAAGTTGTTGACTTTAGTTTTTCAATTGGCTTCTTTTTTCTTCTGGTGTCATAATGTCTTTGCTAAGGCATCTGTTTCCACCCCGGTCAGAAATAGTTATTGCCCCCTCATGAGAGCTTCCCTGTGGCATCTGTGGTACATCAGCTATCATTTAAAAGGTGCCATATGTGTGAGACATATCCAAACTGGTATACTTTCCTCCTGCTAAAGGCAGAGCGGATTATGGTAGTAGTTGCTAGAAGGCTGGCTTTGATTTGGTGTCAACTATTGCAGCATGTTGACAAATACCTGAATGCTCTGCAAAATAATAAATAAATAAATAAATAAATAAATAAATAAATAAATTTTATTTATACCCCGCCCTCCCCGGCCAAGACCAGGCTCAGGGCGGCTAACAACCAATAATAAAAACAAGTTGATTAAAATACAATTTAAAAAACAAGATTAAAATACAACATTAAAACATTAAGATGCAGCCTCTTCACAGGAGAAAGGAAAAAGAAAGAGGGGGAGGGAATCAACCTGATTCTAAGCCAAGGGCCAGGCGGAACAACTCTGTCTTACATGCCCTGCGGAAAGAAATCAGATCCCGCAGGGCCCTGGTCTCATGAGACAGAGCGTTCCACCAGGCTGGAGCCAGTGTTGAAAAGGCCATGGCTCTAGTTGAGGCTAATCTAAGCCTGTGCTTTCTTCTCATTCTTCCATTAGGTGTGCTGAGTTTGGAGGAGTTTAAGCAGCTGAATATTCGGGATTTCCACAAGTATATGGGCAGCCAAAAAGTGAAGATGAGTGACCTGGTGCGGAATAGCCAGCACACGTGGCTGTATCAAGGCGAGGGAGCCCACAATGTCATGCGCTCCATACAGCAAAGGTAAGAGGGACTCACAGATATTTAAAACAGAGAGAGGTTCGCCATTCCTTGCAGCCATACTAGGATCCCGCTCGGTTTTATTATATTAGCGAGTTCTCGACTGATTAAAAAGTGTTTCTGTATTATGAATTGCCTGGTTTTTTTAGTTATTAATTAAAATTTAAACACGCATGGGCTCCTTTAAAGGTGCTAAAAGAATGTGATTACTTCCTCTTGTGCTGCAGTTCCTGTGAAAATCTATCCCCACCCCTGCCCAGTAGGCATTTGCCCTGGGAAGAAAATTGGCACTAACACCAGTAGAACCCTCTTCGTACAGAACTGGGAGTGCAGCCCTAAGCATGTTTGGGCTAAAGTAAGTCCCATTGACTTCATTGAGACTGCCTAGAAAGCCTGCTTAGGACTGGAAACTGAAAGCACCTGCTCCTTTTGTGTTTTTTTTTGGAATGTTGTGGTTTTTCCCCAAAAAATGCTTAGATGATAGTGAAAGTGACTGTCCTTCCTGAGGTTAACTTCCATGCTTCTTTACGTGTGAGGCAGGGTGTTCTGCATTCAAAAGTGACAGAGAACAGAAAGATGCTTCTCTTCCATTTGATCATACAAGTGATCAAATCCATTGTCAACTGGCAGTTCTTATAAAAAAAGAATCCCAATTATGTTTTGTAAATAAACATTGAAAAGATCTCTCTGTGTATGTTTACACACACACGCCACAGGAGGAGCAAATGTAAATATGATGATGATTAATTCAATTTATATACTGCCCTTTATCAAAAGATCCCAGGGCAGTGTACAACATTAAGAACACATTTTTTGGAGCGCAGTAATAAAAACATAATAAAAAGCATAATTATATTCTATATCTATATCATAGCTGCTGTGAATGCCGGTTGCTTACCATCTTGAACTTGTCAAGTAAAACATTTCTGTCCCTAGATGTGTTCACATGTTACATTCAACAAGTGTATGATCTGTGCATTTGTACAGTTAGTAACATTCAACACATGTATACAGTCTGTGTACTTAAGTGCACAGTGACTGCCGTACAAACCCACAAGCGCACACTCTTACACTTAAATGTGTGGAGACAGCTTATACAGTGGTACCTTGGGTTACATACGCTTCAGGTTTCATGTGCTTCAGGTTACAGACTCCGCTAACCCAGAAATAGTGCTTCAGGTTAAGAACTTTGCTTCAGGATGAGAACAGAAATCGTGCTCTGGCGGTGCAGCAGCAGCAGGAGGCCCCATTAGTTAAAGTGGTGCTTCAGGTTAAGAACAGTTTCAGGTTAAGAACGGACCTCCGGAACAAATTAAGTACTTAACCCAAGGTACCACTGTACCTACGTTCAGTGTAATGTGTGAACAGGTACCCTATCCCAGGGCAAAGGGGATGACAGTGGCATGTGGGAACATTGGTTTAGTAGCAAGTATAGTTTAATAGTTCAACGGGCATGTCTCTGCTTCTCCTCCTTTAGGGTGATTCACTTAACCCGTCTGCCCTCTGAGATTGTGGAGCACAGTGAACCCCTGCAGGTAGTGCGATACGACCAAGGCGGGCACTACCATGCCCACATGGACAGTGGACCGGTGTTCCCTGAGACTGCCTGCAGTCACACCAAACTGATTGCCAATGAAACTGCTCCATTCGAGACCTCGTGCCGGTTAGTCTAGAGCCTGAAGAGGAAACTAACCGTCTGTAATCTGTTCTTTCCCTGTTACTCCATGTTTTGTTCTGAAACAGAGACTCCATCATGTTTTTAGGGACATAAACATTCAAGTGCAAATCAGCTGGCCTCCCTTAACCATGGAGAGGTCAAAGAACACAGCATGCATGTGTGCTTTCCAGTTATAAGTTAGTGAAGAGGAATGCTCAGTCAGCTACAGTGGTGCCCCGCAAGACGAACGCCTCGCGAGACGGAAAACCCGCTAGACGAAAGGGTTTTCCATTTTGGAGGCGCTTCGCAAAACGAATTTCCCTATAGGCTTCCTTCGCAAGACGAAAGCCCATAGGGAAATCTCCGGGACAGCGGGGAAGCGCAGCGCGTCTTCCCCACTGTCCTCGGACCTCCTCCGAAGGCTGGCGGCGGGGCGGAGAGACCTCCTCCCGCCGCCAGCCTTCGTTTCTCCGCTATCCCGGACGGCTTTTGAAGGCAGGCGGGGGGGAGCAAAGACTTTCGCCCCCCGCCGGCCTTCAGAGGAGGTCCAAGACCTCTTCTGAAGGCCGGCAGGGGGCAAAAGTCTTTGCTCCCCCCTGCCTGCCTTCCCGGGGGCTTTTAGTCCTCCGCTGTCCCGGGGTTTTTTAAAATGCTGGCGGGCGGCAGCGGAGGCTTCGCTGCCGCCCGCCAGCATTTTAAGATCGCCCCGGGACAGCGGAGAAGTCTCCGCTGTCCCGGGGTTTTTTAAAATGCTGGGGGTGGGAAGAAAAGCCCTTGTCCCCCCCCCCCAGCCTTCAGAAGAGGTCGGGGGACAGACTGTCCCTGGACCTGGTCTGAAGGCGGTTTCCATAGGAACACATTGATTGATTTTCAATGCATTCCTATGGGAAACCGTGCTTCGCAAGACGAAAAACTCGCAAGAAGAAAAAACTTGCGGAACGAATTAATTTAATCTTGCGAGGCACCACTGTATTCCTCCAGAACGTCATGCTTCTCTATGTGGAGGCTTTTTATGCACCTGAAGACTGTTGGCGATAGGCAGGTGCAAAATTTCTCTTACTCTGCCTGTGACGGTATTATTTGAGTCTATAACCATGGTTCTGCTCTAAACCTGAGGTTTGTTTTTCTGTAACCTCAGTTGCTTTGCTGTTTGTTGTATACATTTGCTCAGGGTGGGGGCACAGAACAGAGCATGTTTTTACTTTCTGACCTGTGAGTTGGCCCGAGAAACTGATGTAGGAATTATGGGATGTCAGTCCCACTGAATTCATATAGGATTGCAGCCTAGGTCACAAAAATGGGGGATTAATTTGTGAGTAGATGGGCATAAAATTGTAAATTCCAAGTAGATGTGCATAGTATTTTACTGTTGCATTGCAAACCTGAAGGGGAGGGCTAAGCAGTCTCAATAACTTTGAAGCCTAACCTGTGCTAATGGCCCCTGCCTTTCACAGCTACGTGACAGTTCTGTTCTACCTAAATAACGTGACCGGGGGAGGAGAGACCACTTTCCCGATAGCTGACAATAGGACCTATGAAGAGCTGGTACGGTTCTGTCCTTCTTTGTGGCCTGTTTTTTCTTGGAAAACTATGTTTTCTTTGAGTACTTGTGTTAAACATGAACACCTGGTAGATGGCTGAGAAACCGTACCTTTCCATGTATAAGACACCCCCATGTAAAAAAACGCCCCCTATTTTGTGGGACTCAAATTTAAGGAAGTGGGGGGAGATAGAGAGTTGTTGAGCTTTTTGTGGGGAGGATTGCCCAGTTGCTGCAGCGTCAGCCAATCAACACCAGCCCTTGATGCAGCAACCAATAACATGCCCAATAGTCGCTGACAGCTGCAGCAGAAACCAATCAAACATCCACCCTATGCACTACCCATGTATAAGACGACCCCCACTTTTTAGCATCATTTTTAAAGAAAAAACCTACTCTTATACATGGAAAAGTATGGTAATCTGCAGACCTTTTGTTAGTGACTGTGTTACAGATGCATGCATGGCATCTTCTGCTGTTGCCCCTGTTTTTTTGCAATGCTCTCCCTGATACCATATAGGAAACACCAGCAGTTACCTGCTTCAGACATCTTTTAAAGATGTTTCCCCACTCCCGGGTTCCCCTGATCATTAAATTGGATCCTGTATTTTTGATACTACAATGCTTGTTGCACTCTTGCTGCTGTTTTAATGGTTTTATGGTATATTTGTAGCATTGCCCATAGATATAGATCAGAACTTTCCAAACTGTGTGTCGTGACACGTTAGTGTGTCGGCTGCAGTGTGCAGGCGTGTCGCGTAAATGCTCCCCACGCTCATTCCCGGGCTGGAAAGGGGTTAGTTTAACCTCCGGTTTGCTATTAAAACTGAATTACTGTGTCGCAAAATGATGTAAAACTGAGTTACTGTGTTGTGAAATGATGCATGTCTGAAAAGTATGTCACTAACATGAACAGTTTGAAAAGCTCTGCTATAGATATTGGGCACCTTTTTAGTTAATTCAAGATTATTGGAAGTGTTTAGTCTGAGAAGGGAAGTCCAAGGATGCCTCCAGGTGTGTCAGTTCATGGCACAATAATTGCGCTGTACTAATATGTTGTAGGTGGGTGGGGATCCACATGGTTTTATTCAAGATAACACCCCTGTTACAAGGAAATCACTTCCTCTCAACATTCAGTTAGCAACATTTTGTTTCTAGAAAAATTGCAGCTTATTATATGGCATATGGTTGCATAAATGTACTGGCTGTTTTGTGCTACAGATTTTGGATGTGCAAAACAAATCCTTGCTCCACCCTCCTCCCCACCAGTCCATGTTATTTTCCGAAGTTCTAAAAGATTCCCACCCCCTTTTTTATTCTCTAGAAGTTGAGGTGAATGCTCCCTTACTATACCATGCAAACATGAGAGCACTGAAGTAGCCCTTCAGCCCCTGAACACCACCAAACACTGGTGTCTTAGCACTGTGATTTTTATGTATATATACTCTTTTTAAGGCCAGATGCTTTATTTCACCTGCAATGCATACCTCCCCATTAATTTCAGTGGAACATACTTCAAAATATATTTACTTGAGCATGACAGGTGAAGTATGCAAACATCCTATAACTATAAAATGTTCCATATGGTTTGTTTCATTTCTGAGTTGTTGTTTTTTTAAAAAAACCCACCTCTCCTTAAAATCAAAACGGCTTGAAAAAATATGGAGCTGTTCTATGTAAATGGGAACATATGTAATGCTAGTATAGGAGGTCCTGTGCCTTGATTTATTTATTTGTGGTTGATTTGTTAAGTTCCTGGCACACAGCACAATGAGCATTATTTCCCTTTTCCCCTTCCAGTCTCTCATCCAGAATGATATTGACCTACGTGACACTCGTAAACACTGTGATAAGGGAAACCTACGTGTAAAACCCCTGCAAGGCACTGCTGTTTTCTGGTACAATTACCTGTCAGATGGAGAAGGTAATATGTCCTCTCGTGGCCAAGTTGTCTGAGCTGCATTGCCCAGTGTGGTGTAGTGGTTAAGAGCGGTGGACTCGTAATCTGGTGAATCGGGTTCGCTTCCCTGCTCCTCCACATGCAGCTGCTGGGTGACCTTGGGCTAGTCATACTTCTTTGAAGGCTCTCAGCCTCACTCACCTCACAGATTGTTAGTTTTAGGGGAGGAAGGGAAAGGAGAATGTTAGCCACTTTGAGACTCCTTAGGGTAGTCATAAAGCGGGATATCAAATCCAAACTCTTCTCTTCTTCATGCCAATTTGCCAGCCAAGGGTCAATAATTGGAGGAATCCTGGGGGTTGAGCCGTTGTCATGTAAAACCTGGCTTCTCTCAGGAGTGGTTCATGGGTTCTTATTTCCTTGCAGGCTGGGTTGGCGACCTAGATGAATATTCTTTGCACGGAGGCTGCTTGGTCACTGAAGGAACCAAGTGGATTGCCAACAACTGGATCAACGTTGATCCCAACAAGAGGCGACAGCTCCAGTTCCAAGAGGAGATGGCTCGATATACAAACAGTGCGGACGAGGACCAAAGCGAGTGGACTGTGGACAAATCCTACAGCAACGTACATGTGGAGCTGTAGTGCTTGGAGATGCCTTTTCGTGGACTTGGAAGAAACTTTTTTGCACTAGCCATTTTCAGCCCTCTGAGCTCCCACTTTCCCCCCATCCCCGCATATCTCAGCAGAGATTGCTAGCTGCGCTCCAGCCTAGACTGGAGAAAACAAGGGACTGGATAGGGAGGTATGGTCTGGAATGCACTGTGAAAGAGAACTGGTGAGGCAGGAGAAATGACCTTGGCTGGGTTGTTAGGGTGCAGTTCTCACCTGCATCTTTTTTTTAATGTCTGGCTTTGGTTCTAGGTCTCTGAGCGAGCCTTCCCCATGGCATGTGCAGTCAGTCAGCCTCCAAGTTTGTTGCTCTTCTTCATCCTGAACCATTTCCCCCCGCTGGAATGCAGTTCTTCTCCTTGAGCTGGGTTTGCAGCTCTGTTCCTGGCACCTGCCCACCTGCTGCCACAAGATCTCGTAAAGCAGCAAAACTGATCTCAGAAAGTGTCTCTTCTCATTCTAGGTGGTTCTCTATGGGGCAAAGCTGTTGCTCCTAGCACTCACAGGCACAGGTCATCCTAAGTACATAATAATAGGTAAACTTTATGTAAGGAGGTCTTGAGCAGCTGTATGTTAAGGAAGTTTCAGGATTGAAGGTGCTGGAGTCATTCCGAATGATTTCTAATGCTCATCATGGAGAATTTTTCTCAGGGTCAGACTTGGTTCTGAATAAGGACATGGTTCTGAAATATTTATTGTGTTGATTATCGGGAGGGGGGTAGGGAGTGTTCAAGTGTGCAATAGCAGCTGGTGTGCTGTATTTGTTGAGATTTTCATTTCAGTAACTTGATTTGTGTGCTCGGTTGGGGTTTTTCTCCTCTGTGAGTCTGTTTGGAAGGGGTTCTCTCCCACCCCAAGACATGTTCCACTCCATTTAGTGTCTGATTTGGGCCAACAATCATGAACGTAAGAAGATTCCTGTTGGATCAAACTAAAGGCCCCTGTGTACCAGCAGCCTGCTTTCTACAGTGGCCAATCAGATTCCTCTGAAAAGCAGGACATGAAACTGATGGTCCTTTTCCATTGTTGCTGCTCAAGAGACAGTAGGGACGCGGGTGGCGCTGTGGTCTAAACCACTGAGCCTCTTGGGCTTGCCAATTGGAAGATCAGCGGTTTGAATCCCCGCAACAGGGTGAGCTCTTATTGCTCTGTCCCAGCTCCTGCCAACTTAGCAGTTCGAAAGCATGCCCAGTGCAAGTAGATAAATAGGTACCGCTGCAGCGGGAGGGTAAACAGCGTTTCCGTGCACTCTGGTTTCCGTCACGGTGTTCCAATGTGCCAGAAGCAGTTTAGTCCTGCTGGCCACATGACCCAGAAAGCTGTCTGTGGACAAACGCCAGAAAGTGAGATGAGCGCCATAACCCCATAGTCGCCTTTGACTGGACTTAACTATCCAGGGATATTTCACCTTAACCTTTTTGCTCAGGAGACACATGGCATCTGAACATGGAGAGCGGGATTCAGCTAATGAGTCCCATCAAGGGAAGCCCTGTGCAAGGACTGCCGCTTTGCACCCTCTGAAATTAGTTCTGGGGGAATTGGGAGAACCCCTAGAACAGCATGCGGAGGGAGAAAAGGGGGGATTATTCCATGAGGCAACCCAAAATTCTTGCCTTGATGGAGTAATCACCTAAGTGCAATGTTGAATTCCTCCCTTAGCTTTCATATAGCCATCATGGGTAGTTGTTGATTGCCTTATCCTGCATGAATTTGTCTAATCCCCTTACAAAACTATCTAAACCAGTGGCCATCATCTTGAATGCCATAAATGTATTATTCATTGTGTCCAGAAGTACTTCCCTTCAGTTTGTCCAGAATCTTTTCTGCACCATGCATAATTTTACAAACTTCTTTCATGTTTCCCCTTACTCAATTCCCTGCTCCCCAAACTAAAAAACAAAACAAAACCCAAGCAACAGTCCTTTTCTGCACCTGTTCCAGATCTACAATATCTTTTTTGAGATGAGGCTAATCAGAGAGGCTTTCCCCCTGTAATTGAACTTGAAGCGTGAGCCAGAGTTGGCCCTTTTCCCTTCTGTGTTGGCCTGAGGATATATTTCTTTTTAATAGGTGTCAGTAATAAAAAGGAAGTGGTGTCAGAAAAGGAGATGAAGTGGAAAGATACAGTGGAACTTCAGTAAGATACAGAGAAGATTCCTGTAGCATTCAATGAGACCACAGGAAACTTGCGACTGTAGACAAACACTTTCATCGCTGTTAGGAAAGCTGGGATTAATTGCGTGGCGTTTTTAATATATAATTGAAAGATAATTTACAAAGATAATTTACAATTACAAAATCCCTCACTGTTCAACATCTTGACATAAGGCAAAATGCAGGGTTTGGTTGTAGCCATCACTGTAGAGGCTTTGGCCTTGCAGCTCATAGTTTGTAATAAGTTGTATCCTTTAGGAAAGCTATCCACATTTAACCCAAAATATGTGGATCTATCTGCCGAGTAGCACTCAATGCTGGTGTTGGAAATCCCAGACTGGCTGCTCCATCCTGATGAGCAAATATATAATTGTCTCATCCCCCCGCCCGCACAAATACTTTTATTTTGACATGATTGTTTCCTCCTGATGCCTTGAGGTTCTGAAGTAGACAAAGCTGCCTTTAAGGTGGCCGTCTTGCAGCTAGTTATCTAGCCGGGTGCCTCCATTGCTGTCCAAAGGATGCTAAGTTGTATGGCATCTTCCTTGCTTTGATAAGTTGCCATTCCTACAAGGTAGCTCTCCCTAAAGACAGAAACTGATGTTATTGTGGAATGTTGATTGTTGTACATATTGAATCAGTTTATGTCGGAAGCAAGTGAATTTCCATTCCAAGGAATGAGTGCATCTCATGCATCCCTTTTTACTGGGGTCCTTGTCGATTGCCTTAGTTAGAGACCTGTGCAACCTGTGACCTTCCAAGCCAAACACAGCCCACCAACCTGGCACATGCTTAAAAACTTCCCCACTCTGCCACCTTATTTTTGTAGTCCCAGGCAGGTCCCGGTGGCTTTATAGTCAGCTTGGTGGGTCACGAGTTGTGTAGATCAGCCTTAGTAGTGTGCTTTATAACGCAGAAAGGTTAAGGTTTGTGACCACTACATGGCCCTGCCAGATGAAAAAATGTCACCCCAGTCCTCCACAATATCCTTGTAAGCTTCATTGATTTTGGTGCAGGTTATTTTAATGAAATAGGCCTAAGGTTGCGACTTTACTGCAGTCCCGCTGCAAGGTTTTGTGGGGTGGGGAGGAAGTAGGTGTTCTTCTGATAAGATACAACGAGGATTCAGTATCCCTGAAGCGTCTTGCTTTCCCTGGTATGACTTTGGAAATTTAACCGCATAGCAGATAGTTTACACGCCAATTTAAAGTTCTTAGCGGTCCCCTTTAGGAACTGTTTAATAAGAAGAATCTAGACGCAGCTTAAAGGTCCTGTCTCATTTACTACTTATGAAATGCCAAAAGGCTGGACATGAAATAGATCTCCTATTTTGCTGTTCATTCCAAACTAGGACTTTGCAATCTTGTTTTGAGTGTGTTCATGTGTGTGCTAGAGAGGCTATTCACCTCTAACTTGAGATATTTATATTTTACTAGCAGAGACTTGAAGTGTAGAAGAATGTAGGGCTTTGATTCAGGTTTAAGAAGCCATGAATTGGATGAGGATGTGATGCCACCTTTTTCCAGTTTGCAATCTACAAAACCAAAAACCCCTGGGCCACGAATGGGGAAGCGCTGCAAGCAGTTGCATGGCCTGTGGATTGTGCAGTATCCCACACCCAGGACCGCATGGATGTTTGCCTGGGCTCAGCTACCTGTACTGGAGTGGGGGGAAGGTGGTGTTAGCAGAGAGGTTTGCTTTGTGAATCATGTCCTTAATTGCCCCAAAGGCATGACATGCGTATCCAAGCCCACAGCTGAACCCTTTGCTAACCTTAGCTAATTTAAGTGACTGATGTTGCCGGTTGCATTGATAGGTAACTGGTCAGCGTTGGATTTTGTATTTCTGTGTGTTCCCTACACTTGTGTGTTTTGCAAAAAGTTGTTTTTTCCCCTTATTATTTAATATTTATTTATGGTTTTCCACACAAAGATGTCAGGTAGCTTGTCTATCCTGCAAATAAAAGTTTGAAACCTAGCTGTTACCTTTACATTTTCTTTGCGCCTCCCATTCCTCATTGGGGTATGAAGTTATGCATTCCACAGATTACTATTTTCTACTCTTAAGAACTGGGGCACCATCTAATTTTGTAGTGGGGCCCAAAGCGAGTCTCTGTTCATTAGTCTCTCGGTGGCTAGAATTTCCAGGCTTGGCGTTAAACTGCAAGCAATCCCCCCACCCCACTCATCTATTTATTTTCTGCTCTCTCTGACTGTAAGTGATTAAAATGCTTTTTCTATAAGCATAAGATTTTTATTTTTTTAAAGTGATGATGTTCTTGCCCGTTTTCCTTTATATCCAGTGGTGTTATTCCTAAAGCATTTAATTTACAAAATTAAGATAAAGCCAGATGCAGCTTTTTCTGGGAGTTTACCTTAGTGAAGACCTCACTTGGAAAAACAATATAACTCAGGTGGTTAGGAAGGCCCAACAGAGACTCCATTTTCTCAGGGTCTTGCGAAATAACAATGTTAAAGAACAATTGATGACCTCTCATATTGTATCACGGTGTGGTACGTTGACTTGACAGCCACGGACAGAAAGTCTTTACAGAGGGTGGTGAACACAGCACATGATATCATGTGCTGTCCCCTGAGCCCACTAGATGACATCGCAAGGGGTCGTTGCCTTAGGAGAGCAAGAAAAATTCTCAGGGACTTTTCACACCCCGGTCAGCACCTCTTTAATCTTCTACCCTCGGACAGGAGATATAGAAGTATAATCAGTCGTACCAACAGGCTTAAAAACAGTTTCTATCCATGGGCTGTTAGGCTGCTGAACAGAAAATAATATAGTGCAACTGACTTTCAGGGTTGGTGCGTTGTGCGACAAGCACACAGAGTGCAATGAGATTGAGTGTTTTGGGGGGGGAGGCTTGGTTAATTTCATTGTACACAGGTTGTACATTGACAATAAAGGTGGTATTATTATTATACTCATGAAGGATAAAATCTCTTGTATGTCTCATACACCATAATCCAGTTTTAGGAGCAAATGCTCCATTTGTAGACCTTGATTGTGAGCCATGTCCCAGTGCTTCAAACACAGAGTTAAAGCAGGCTGTAAATGAAAAAAATAGCCTTTGATTATATTGTGGAGATGACAGGTTGACAGTTTTTCAACCCTGGTCCCACTTTTATTAGCTCCAATCTGGTCACAATCTTGGTTATATTCTGCGAATGCATGTCTTGATATGAAAACTGCATGGGGAATGTTTTTATGGCTTTTTACACAGTCACCTAGGTCACCTTTTTGATAAGTAACGGCCAGATAAATCCTGTATTTAAATTATGTCAGTATCAGAAAGATACTGTCTCTGCACTATATCCAATGTGTGTTCCACCCAGAACAAGAGAGGAAAACACATACAGGTAAGAAAACTAAAATCAACCCCACGTGTCCCTGGAAACTCCTTCAGTACAAATCAGGGACTACTGAAAGCAACATCAACACGCCACTCACATGTAGAGGGAGTTAATGAATTCAAGGTATTGGAGATGTGGCTGTGGTAGCTACCGCTTCATCGCATGTGATGTGATGACCCAGCAAGAACTCTGCTGCACCTGGTTCCCAGATAGCCTAAGTTCCACTCAGAGGAAGACCCGTTGAAATGAATGGACCTAAATTAGGTGTGTTGATTAATTTCAATGGTTCTACACTATGAATGGAAGGTAACACTGCGTCCTTAAGAGGTTTTAAAGCAGGGGCTAGCTGCCCACTTTTGAGGCATGCTAGAGCTGTTGATTTTCTTGCATAGGCTGGTGGTTGAGCTGGATGAACTCTCTGGGAGTTTCTGTAGAGTTCTGGAGAACTCAAAAACTTGCTATCTTGTGGACCTTTTGGTTGGCCTAATAAAGGCATTGCCTGAATAAGAACTTTGGGAGCTTTGGGGGGGGGGCCCTGCGGTGGTGGCTGAGATATACCAGAATGCTGGAAGGACATTCATCTACTCAGTGGTCTCAATATCTCAGCGCCCTTTATACATTTGAATGCATGGCTTGCCATTGTCAATCTCATTTAGATAGCTATTTGGAAACATGGATTGCCTACCTATATGTTTAAATTGGGATGGATGGTAGGGCTGCCATACATCCATACATTACCAGGATTTTAAGGGCGGAAGGGACATCCAAGGGGAATTTCAGGAAGGCAGCAGCTTGTTCTGGATCTTTGGCAAATTGTGTTTTTTTGGCAACCCTAACTGATGGGAATTTTTTTAAAAAATTCATTTTCACATCATACACAAATCATAATAATTTTATAAATAGGATTCTCAGAATCCCCAAACTTCCCTCCACCCCTCTGTGGTTTCCCCAGATATTCTTTTCAAACTGCATCGTATCATATTTCCCATATTTTCTTAAATCTCAATTTGAATCATAATTATCGCTTCATTGCAAGTGTTTTTAAAAATCTGCCAATGTTTTCAATTGCTTACAGTGTTCTTTCAAGTACAACTTAAATCCCCCCCCCCAATAACTGATGGTTAATTATCACTGTTAATGTCAGCTGGTAATCTTATTTTTATTTTATTTTAAATTTTATTTTCTTCTTGTTTTGGCACATATATGCACATTGTGTGTGTGTGTGTAAATACATACATATTATGTGTACTGTGTATATAGCTATAAAGATATACCTTTCTATTTACCTTTTACCTTAATACAGTATAGCTATATTTATCTACATGTATTTAGATAGAGCTGTGCCTTTAAGAAATTATCTTCCTGCCTTTGCCGGCCTTTAACTACCAATCAGTCTCGGCGGCCTGGGAGAGAACTTCCGCTGGCCAATAGCATCCCTCCGTGTCTTTGGAGCTCGGAAGAAGCCTCCCAATTGGTTCATGGGGTCTGCGCCCGCGCGCGAAAGAGAGCGAGGTAGGGCGACCTGTTTTCTCGCGATATGGTGGCCCCTGTTTTGCTTCTCTCCCTCCCGGCGCTGCCACGCGGGTCTCGCCTCTCCCTCTGCGAGCGTGTGTGCGCGCCTTCCCTGCCTCTTCTCCAGGCTGTGCACGAAGCTCTGGCTGCAGCGCCCCTGCTTCGCTCAGCATTAGGCTAGCTAGAAGCATTCGGTGGCTCAAACCTGGGGGGCGACCAGGTGTTGCTGGGTCAAGACTCCCCCCCCCATCCCTGACTTGAACCTCATGCAGCTGCCGACTATAGGTAGCCTCCCTCCCCACTGCCGCATGCCTGCCCACTTTCCCTCCTGCAAGCCCTAGTCTGCGGAAGCTTCTGCCACAATAAGTGTGTTGCCCTTTCCACTTCAGGCAATAATGTGTCCCAACAAATCCGCAGTTTCTCCGGCTTAAGCATCCCATTCGTTCTGTGCCTGCTGTTCCTCCACGGGGAGTGCATTGTTTTATCCAGTCGTTCTCCCATTTATATATTCAATGGCCTTCCCTGGTTTTGTTTCCTATCTGCCAATATAAGAAGCTGGCCAAAAGTTCGCCACACACAAAAATACTGTCGCGCAGCAGCATCCAGGGGCTTCTCAGAAAGGGCAAGTACACTCCTGTTCAGACCACTTTTATTACCAAATAAAAAGGCCCGTCGTTTACCAAGTGCTTCGGAGATTAGATCATTTCATTGTTCTAAGAACTAAGCAAAGTTAGCTTGTTCCCATTGTACAGATTGTGGTTAGAACCAGCAAAGCATCTTTCCTCCGAGACTTTGGCTGAGGTGGGATTTGAACAGGCCTCTCGGGTCTAAACCGAGAACAGCATTTACATTTGTGCTCTCTCTGGCAGGTGGCATCTCATCCGTGCATGCCAGGGGTGGGGACCTTTTTTATTGTCAAGGGCTGCATTCCCTCAGGGGTAGTTGGGGGGGGGGCACATGGCTGGTGGTGGTGGGTAACATTGGAGCAAAAAATGAACAGTGCCCTCCCTTCTCTCTCACCCAGTTCCTCCTTTTTGGCTACCCCTTTTTCTTCCATTTTTCCTTCCTTCCTATCTGCATGAAATTAGGCCAGGGAGTGAGGTTTCCCACCCCATCCCTAGTGCTCAGTGATGTGAGTTACCTGCTAGCTAGACCATGCTGACTTTTATCGGGAGTAGCTCTAATCCAGTTCCAAACAATTTCTACCTTCCAAGCCAAAAGGCATCTTACTTCTGTATCCATCACCTCAAGCTATGGACTATCTGCAGCATTTATTACTCTTCCCACCCCCTTCTTCCTCAGATGTCTTGTGTAAGAGGAAGCGAATCGACAGGAGCCCTCACTTCCGATCCTTGTTCAGCAATGGAAACTGAACTGCTGCTGGCTCCTATCACTGCTCTGGAGATTGTGGATGATCACCTTGTTGCAGGTATGCGGTAGGGCCAGAATATCCCGGGGCAATGGCAGCCCACAAGGTAGCCTTCCCATGTTGCTGGAGTCCCAACAGCCACAGCTGTGGTCAGGGGTGGTGTGAGTTGCAACATCTGGATGGCTCCTGGTGAGCAGAGTCCTTTCTGGTGGGCAACAGGTAACATTATGTCAAGTGTGTCAGATACCAAGCCATGGCACTGAACACTTGGTGAAATGAAACATGATATAGTGGTACCTCGGGTTAAGTACTTAATTTGTTCCGGAGGTCCGTTCTTAACCTGAAACTGTTCTTAACCTGAAGCACCACTTTAGCTAATGGGGCCTCCCGCTGCCGCCACACGATTTCTGTTCTCATCCTGAAGCAAAGTTCTTAACCTGAGGTACTATTTCTGGGTTAGCGGAGTCTGTAACCTGAAGCGTATGTAACCTGAAGCGTATGCAACCCGAGGTACCACCGTAATGGAGGGCTTGTTTCAAAGCCAGGTTCTACCCAGCTGAATAGCCAAGCAAAGCAGGAATCACAGCAAGACGGTGCATTATAGGGGGACAGGCAGGCACCAAGTCAGGGGAGGAGCCCAGAGCTCCTGCAAGCTGGTTTCTTGGATTTTATAAGTCCTGCTGCTGGGGAAATGATGCTCCTAGAGATGATAGGAAGTGGGGGACCTATTAGAAACCTGTTCCCATTTCAAGCAAGGCAAAAGTTGTGGGTAACGTGATTCCACAGGGACAGTTTGACAAGAGGCCGTGTGAAAGCTGCATCAGAAGCAATACTAGATTTGGTCTCGGTGTGTCTTTCATATTGGGACCAGGTGCTGCTCAAGGTGTACCTGGGCTGGTATGGAGGTTGTGTGTGGATCGTGCTTGTGAGGATGGATGCTACTGGAAAGAGTACGCTGTACATATCAAATGAGGTGATTCTAGCCTCTTTTCCTCCAGGTGAAGGACCCTACCTTGCCATCTACTCCCTGGAGCCTGATGCCAGCCAGTCAGCAAGATGCCGTAAGGAGGTCCTTCGCAACCATAATGTCCATGGTATCAAGGAGCAGCAGGATGTGGCCCCAGGACCAACCGCCCTAGCTGTCTTTGGAGGCAAAGGCCTCGTCGTTTTAGAGCTCAGCTTCCGGGGCGGCACGGCAAAAGTAGCCGAACTCTTTCCTTTCCGCGAGCTGCATGACTGGATCTGGGACCTGCAGTGGTTGGAGGCACCCGGCTGTGTGGCTTTGGCCCTGGGCCACAACTCCTTGGCACTGTACGACTGCGCTGGCCAGAGGACCCTTCGAGAAGTCCACTGCCAGGAGAAGTGCATCCTCTACTCAGCCCACCTGGTTGGGAGCAGCTGGGACACGCTGGTGCTGGTGGCTGGCACAGTCTTTAACCAGCTGGTGGTCTGGTGCGCGGCCGACCCGCCGGACGACGCAGGCAGGGTGAAGCCCCGAAGCAGGATCAACGGGCACAAGGGCGTCATCTTCAGCATCTGTTTCTCAGAGAGCAAAAGCATCTTGGCCTCGGCCTCAGATGACAGGAGCCTGCGGCTGTGGGGCGTCGGCGACCTCAGGTCGCCCCCTGACCCTGTCCCGTGCTTGGTGGTGTGCTACGGGCACCAGTCTCGGGTCTGGGCGGTGCGCCTGCTGAGCAGTTACGTCCTCAGCATTGGAGAAGACGCTGCTTGCCTCGTGTGGAACTACCAGGGCGAGATCGTTGACCGTTTCAAAGGGCACAAGGGGCGCGGCCTCCGGGCAGTCGCCGCCCACGAGAGGCGGGGCTGGGTGTTCACAGGCGGGGCCGATTCTGGCATCAGGCAGTGGCTCCTTAAAGGGCAGAGCGACGGCGGGAACAGCCTCATGCGGCTGGACTTCCCCTCACCTCGCCGAAAAGGATCTCCCAGAGCGGTGAAGCTGGTGGATGTAAACCACCTCCTTGTGATGACGGACGCTGGGGCTGTCTACGCCTATGACTTGACCTCCAAAGCCTGGGCGTTGGTCCTCGAGGATGCTGCGTATCGGTCCTACAGCCTCCTGGAAGTCTCCGTGCTCATCAGTGGCGTGGTGGCGTGTGCCATGGGCAACCTGTTGGGACAGGTTAAAGTCTTCCCTCTCTGCAGTCCCGCAGAAAGCAAGGAGCTGAAGCTGTACGAGGGGAAAGTGCACAGCCTGAGTTGGGCCTCCTATGCAGGGCAGGATCCCGGCGCTTGCAGCCTCTTCGTTTCCGGAGCAGCTGGTTCCCTGCTGTGGCTGGAGGTCTCTCTTGGCCCACCTGAGGGAGTCACTGTGGTGGTGAAGCGATGCTTCCGCCTGCCGCTCTGCAAGCAGCGATGGCACACGTGCGCCGCCTTCACGCCCCAGGGAGAGCTGCTGCTCTGCGGCGACCGCAGGGGCTCCCTCATGCTGTTTGAGTGCAAGCCAGCTCAGGCCTTGAGCAGAGGAGCAGGAGTTGGCTCCTCGGACCCAGAGGGGGCCTCCGGTTTGCCCTGCCCAACCTTTCCTCTCGCAGGGGAAGAGCCGCTCGCTGAGGGCCCCGTCTCTCTGCTCTTCGGCCTGCACGGAAAGCTGGGCGTCACCTCCATCACCTGCCACCAGGACTTCATCTACAGCACCGGCCGGGACAGCTGCTACCGCCAGCTGCAGGTGCAAGGCCGCCAGCTGCGCGTGCTGAGGAAGCACAGGCCATGCAAGGGCCTGGAGTGGCTGGAGGAGCTGCGCTTCGGCCCCGATGGGAGCATGTGGGTGCTGGGCTTCCACGCTGACCGCTTTGTTCTCTGGAGCGCCAGCAGCAACGAGATGCTGCTGTCTGTCCCTTGCGGTGGCGGCCACCGCTCCTGGAGCTACGCCCACCGCCTCCAGGCGGGAACCTTTGCCTACGTCAAATCCGGGGATGTGGTGGTGCACCAGAGTCAAGACGCGCAGGGCGGGCAGCGCATCCTCAAGGAGTCCCTGCACGGGCGGGAACTAACATGCGTTTGCCACGTCGGGGTTTTGCAGGCACCCGGGCAGGAGCCGCTGAGCACCCTTGCCACCGGCAGCGAGGATGGCACAGTCAATATTCTGAGCTACAGGGCGCAGTCTCGTACGGTGACCCAGCTTGCCGCTCTGGGCGACCACATCTCGAGCGTGAGAGCTCTGGCTGTGGCCAAGGACACTCAGCCCAAGGCAGGAAGTATCTCTGCCGTCCTCTTCTCAGCTGGAGGGCGGGCCCAGATTGAGTGTTACCGGATGCATATTGGCCCCAGCCATGGCTCTAGCAGCGGTGTGGTACATCAGCTGCTCCACGTGGCTTCTCACCGCCTGGATGAGCAGTGGGAGCGCAGGAAGAACAGGCACAAGCTCGTCAAAATGGACCCAGAGACCAGGTAGTAGCTGTGGGCCTTTCCCAGGAATTTGTATTCTTAGGCAGGGTCATGGGTTCTCAAAAAGCAGGCAACCTGCACAGGGGATGTTATTGATGCTCATATAGGGAATGTAAAATCTGCACCTCTCTTGCTAACCCCTTTACCAGCAAACACCCCCCCCCCCAAGCACACACACACACAGGCTTTTCCTATTGTCACACAAGTGGGCACAATATTCACATCCAGCCTGGAAGACTTGAGATAGATAGATAGATAGATAGATAGATAGATAGATAGATAGATAGATAGATAGATAGACAGACAGACTAGACGACTAGACTAGACCCTACCCTATTATTTTGGCTGTAATTTGTTTTAAACTTATTTTAATGTATTTTGAAATAGCTGTAACTCGCCCTGAGATCTTGTTTACTTTATTTTATTTATCAAATTTGTATACTCCCCTTCATCCACAGATCTCGGGGCGTTCACAGTATTAAAAAGCACAAAATCCGATGATGACAGGCGAGTGAGAAATCAAACAAATAATCTAAAATACACAACTGGGTCTAACAATATTGTAGCAGCAGGAGATTAAAAACAAAACCAGCAGGATAAAACAATGTGAATAACAGCAGCAAAAAAAATATAAAGGTCTGTTTGCTTAATTTTCCAGTCTCAGAATTCCCCCCCCCTTCCCTGTTCTGCTGTACTCGTGCTTAAGAATACATTAGTACAGAGAGAATAGGGAGGACTTTGGGCGCCGAGTCCATAGTAGGCAACACGTGCCACTTTCCAGCTTTTGTGTGTGTGTTTGTAACTTTTTCACTGCTCTGGGTATGGATTGTGTGTCCCAGAGAAGGTAACTGATAACTTCTGTGTTCCAGGTATATGTCTATTGAGGTCCTGGCTGGTGTGGAGTACCCAGAGCTTCCTGCTCCCTTGCTCTTCCTAGCCGCTGCTTGCAGTGATGGCTCTGTCCGGTAAGGAAGATGGTTGGGCTCTCCCTTTTAGGGGCCTGTATAGCTGGGGTAGGGACACGGGTGGCGCTGTGGGTTAAACCACAGAGCCTAGGACTTGCCGATCAGAAGGTCACCGGTTCGAATCCCCGCGACGGGGTGAGCTCCCGTTGCTTGGTCCCTGCTCCTGTCAACCTAGCAGTTCGAAAGCACCTCAAAGTGCAAGTAGATAAATGGGTACCACTCCAGCGGGGAGGTAAACGGCATTTCCGTGCGCTGCTCTGGTTCGCCAGAAGCGGCTTAGTCATGCTGGCCACATGACCCAGAAGCTGTACGGCGGCCAATAAAGCGAGATGAGCGCCGCAACCCGAGTCGGTCACGACTGGACGTAATGGTAAGGGGTCCCTTTACCTTTACCTTTTTACGTTTCCCGGAGCAGCACTTTCCCCAAACTAGAGAAGGGAACATGAACAGAAAGAAAACTGTAGCGCTTGGTACAAAGGATGTGGCCCTTTCCCCCTCTTTAAAGTCGGAGACTCTTTTCCTTGGACTGACTTCACTGCTCTCATGTCTGCATAGCCTCTTCCTGCTGCTTGAGCGTGCTCAGAAGCTGCAGCTTGTGGCAGAATCCTTTCATCATCAGCACTGCGTCCTGAAGGTCCAGGCGTTTGCATGTAAGACAGCAGGTGGAGGAAGGTGAGAATGGAGTGGCTACACCCCACCCCCGGTGGTCTTGAGATGCACCTCCCCTGAGTTTACTACTGCCGACCCATCAGGCCCTAGAAAGCTAATTTTACCCATTCATCTTTCTTTTATAGAAGGCACTTGTTGAGCAGCGCTGCCACCGATGGGAACATTGCATTCTGGGATCTCGCCCCTACCCTTAAGCGTGCTGCAGAGGCCTTGAAGGTGGAAGGCACAGAAATGAAGCTTCTGGGTAGGTGGTTGTGTTGACTGCCCTGTTCGTGCACCCTTAAAGTTGTTGTTGTTGTTGTTGTTTATTGTATAACCGGGACAGCTCAGTGGGTAGAGCAGGCTTCCTCAACCTCGGCCCTCCAGCTGTTTTGAGACTACAATTCCCATCATCCCTGACCACTGGTCATGCTAGCTAGGGATCATGGGAGTTGTAGGCCAAAAAAATTTGGAGGGCCGAGGTTGAGGAAGCCTGGACCAGAGCATGAGACTCAATCTCAGGGTTGTGGGTTCGAGCCCCATGTTGGGCCGAAGATTTCTGCATTGCAGGGGTAGGACTAGATGATCCTTGTGGTCCCTTCCAACTCTGTGATAGCATGATTCTGTTTCTTATATTCAGCCCATGTGATTGGGTTGCCCCAGCCACTATGGGGATGCAGCTCCCAATGAAAGAATGAATAAAGCAAAATAAATACAATTCAAATCTTAAAGCCTTCCCGAACCAGGGCTGCCTTCAGATGTTTAAATTTATATATTTGCTTAACTCTTTGACATCTGCCGAGAGAGCATTCCACTTTACACAATGAGGGAACCACCAGAAGGCCCTCGGTGCTGGACCTCAGTGTCCTGGCTGAACGATGGGGGTGGAGACGCTCCTTCAGGTATACTGGGCTGAGTCCGTTTAGGGATTTAAAGGTCAACACCAGCACTTTGAATTGTGCTCAGAAATGTGTACTGGGAGCCAATTTAGATCTTTTAGGAAATCAGCCCTGAGTGCTCACTGGAAGGACAGATCGTGAAGCTGAGGCTCCAGTACTTTGGCCACCTCATGAGAAGAGAAGACTCCCTGGAGAAGACACTGATGCTGGGAAAGATGGAGGGCACAAGGAGAAGGGGGCGACAGAGGACGAGATGGTTGGATAGTGTTTTCGAGGCTACCAGCATGAGTTTGACCAAACTGCGGGAGGCAGTGGAGGACAGAGGTGCCTGGCGTGCTCTGGTCCATGGGGTCACGAAGAGTCGGACACGACTAAACGACTAAACAACAACAACAACTATATGGTCCCAGCACCCGCATTCTGGATTAGTTGTCATTTCTGGGTCACCTTCAAAGATAGCCCCATGTAGAGCACATTACAGTAATTCAAGCGGGAGATAACCAGAGAATGCACCACTCTGGTGAGACAGTCTGCAGGCAGATAGGGTCTCAGCCGACGTAACAGATGGAGCAGCTAGACAGCCGCCCAAGACACAGAGTTGACCTGTGCCTCCATGGACAGCTGTGAGTCCCAAATGACTCCCAGGCTACGCACCTGGTCCTTCAGGGGCACAGTTCAGAACCAGGAAGTCCTCTGTACCTGCCCGCCCTATTTGTGACCCTCCTAGGTATACCTTCTTTTTCAAGTGTATACCACCCTTTGCGCTTCCTCCCAGCCTTGTACACTTCCTTTGCCTGTGTGTGTTTTCCAGACCTGGGTACCCCAGTCCTGACCATCCGGGCTCACAGCTGTGGAGTGAACAGCCTCCACATCCAACAAGCAGCTGACAGGCATTTCCTGGTGGCCAGTGGCAGCGATGACGGCTCCATCTCTCTCAGCGCTGTTGAGGTGGATGCTGGAAGCGACACCGACCAGGAAGCCATCGCTGGGACCAGCATCCGCCTTCTCAGAGACTCTTCGAGGCCCTGCGCCCACGCAGCTCACGTGACGGGGGTGAGGCTCCTGCAGCCGGACTTCCTCCTCTCTGTTTCGGTGGACCAGCGGATGACGCTCTGGCACCTTCGCGAGGACAGCCTGTCTTTCGTCAGCAGCAAATTCTGCCATGTGGCCGATGTGGCTGGCCTGGAGTGTTGGGAGGTTGGGGCCCGTGACTGCCACAGCGTGATCTGTGGGCAGGGGCTGGAGATCCTCCGCTGCAGCCTAGATTTGCCAGGTGCAGAAACAGAAAATGGTGTATGAAGGAGTGTGGGCTGCGCAGCCGCCTTATTCTGTTGGGGTGCAGAGGAGTTTGAGCGACCAATAATAATAATAATAATTTATTATTTATACCCTGCCCATCTGGCTGAGTTTCCCCAGCCACTCTGAGCGGCTCCCAATCGAGTGTTAAAAACAATACAGCATTAAATATTAAAAACATCCCTAAACAGGGCTGCCTTCAGATGTCTTTTAAAGATAGGATAGCTGCTTATTTCCTTCACATCTGAAGGGAGGGTGTTCCACAGTGCGGGCGCCACTACCGAGAAGGCCCTCTGTCTGGTTCCCTGTAACCTCACTCCTCGCAATGAGGGAACCGCCAGAAGGCCCTCGGCGCTGGATCTCAGTGTCCGGGCTGAACGATGGGGGTGGAGACGCTCCTTCAGGTATACTGGGCCGAGGCCGTTTGAGGCTTTAAAGGTCAGCACCAACACCAACCAGGGCACAGAGGGCTGTCATGCGAAAGCAGCAAGGGCCGTAAGAAATATAATAAATAATAATCATAATAATTTTTTATTTATACCCCGCCCTTCCCGGTTCAGAAAACCGGGCTCAGGGCAGCTAACAACAAATTTAAAACGCTTAATTGATGCAACAGAAAACAGCATAAAATACAGTATAAAACGGGAATAACAATAAATAAATAAAAATGCTTTGCCCCTCTCTTCAGGGAGAAACTGCTTCCGCCATAACCATGCAGTTACTGTCCCTGATACGATACAGCTTCCCTGCTTTTCTTTGCCTTGTGGGCAGTCATACCTGAGCTTCGCCAACCTATTTTGACAGAGGGCCTGCGATGAGAAATGCAGTAATAAATCAAGCCCACCCAGTGCCAGTCCCTCTGCCTCCAATGGTTAAATGGCTTAAAATGCCTTTTCCTTGCAAATATATGTCCTGGATTTCAGCCTCCTCTTCTGATTACCGCAGAGAAACGTAGGAAGCTACTTTATACCAGGACAGACTTCTTTGTCCAACTGCCCCAGGGTTTCTCCAGGGTCTCAGCAAGTCTTTCCCCCTGCGCCGCCTATTTGATTATTTTAACTGGCAATACCGGGGATCGAACCTTCTCTGTGCAAATAACGTTCTCCGCCTCTGAGCTGTGATCCTACTCCTTAAGGAGACCTAATCCCAGCCTGCAGGATGGTCAGATGAATCCCATTCACATGGATTTGGGGGAAAGAGGTGATCACCTGGTGCCTGCAATGCCCTGGGCCCACAGAACTTAAAGACCCATCCTCCCATTGTGGAGGAGGGTTTCTTGTCGCACTGTCTACAGGATCAAAATTGCTACAAGATCACTGGAGTGTCAGGTGCTAGTCAGTTCAATGGGCAGCGACATTCCTGTGTGCATCTGCTGAATGACATCCATTTAGACTGTAGCACTGATAGAAGAGGACTGCGGAGGAGTGGGGATGTTCACAGAATGTCTACCCAGGTGGGAGATGGTGTTTTTTTAAAAAATAAAATAAATAGAGTTGTATACGTACTGCCCTTCCTCTGTAGATCTCAGGGTGGTTCACAGCATAAAAACGCAAGATAAAAACGCAAAACACATGGAGTAGAATTGGGGTGAGAAGTTCAATCATATGATCCCTGTTTGGTGCAGGAATTGGGATGGAATGAGAATATCCTGGAGGTACAGACTTGCAGGGAAATGGTTAGCTTTCTGTCCGTCCGTCCCAATTACAATAGTAAATGCTTTTGCGTTTTCTCTGACCCCCCCCTAACACAATTTTTATTTCCTCCAATCGAGACTCCTCTTCCGAGTCAGGACTTTTCACTTTTCGGCTGCTGCGGCTTGTGGCACCTGTTCAGAGGGATTTGCTCGGTTGCGCAAAGTCCTGCACTCAATAATTCAGCGGTTGAGCCCTGGAGTGGCTGGGGTTTCTGGCCCCCCCAGCAGCGCCATGCATATTTCATGGTCCAGATTGCAGCAATGGGGAGGTCACACCAAGGCCCCTTTGTCTGCAAGTTCAGCACGTGGGTGCTGCTGTAACGCACTGCCGATTCCCAATGGCCTTCCATCTATTTGGCTCCTGGAGGAACAGCTGAGCTTGCTGCAAAACAGGGCGATGCCGTCCCAAGCTGCACTGATAGTGGGATTCACCCAGTGATGTAGGTACCAGAAGGACGCCGAGTAGCAAGCTCTCCAGGCGCTGTGTGGACCACCTTGCTTCCTTGTCATTGCCACCAACAAACCTGGGATGCTACAGTTCGGTCCACTCAAAAATGCCGTTCCAGCCGCACTTTGTCCCCAAATCCAGGCAGAGAGGGGCTGGCTCAGAGCAGCCACAGGAGATGGCACCCCTGGAAGCAACAGGCCTGCTCCCTTCGGTGGCTCAGCGAGGTTCAGCCCTGCCCACAGCGAGTGTCACCACCCACCCCGGCTGCGCCATGAGGATGAGTGTGACCCCCGGCTTCAGGAGGTGCCATGCAAGGACCAGAGAAGATCCTCCCAAAAGGAAGTGCACAGGCTGGCTGGAGAAGGTAGGGAAAGCCCTATTGGTGGGGCAGGGTGGAGATATCGGTGCATTGCCAGGGATAGATAGATATGTAACTGCAGCAGTGGTGGGGAATTAAACTCAGGCAGGTCAGAATTCAGGATGGCATTGATGCAGAGGACCAGCTTCCATTAATATCCCTGCCTTCACAGCACAGCTGTGTTTGCTGGTGGATACCTGGCTGCAGGCCACCGCTTGCCAAATGTTCACTCCTCCTTTATAGTAAGACAGTGCCTTCCAGGTGTTGTTGGCCTTGCAACTCCCAGGCAGCCAGACTTAATGGTCAGAGGTGATGGGCGTTGCAGTCCAGCAACTTTGGCTACGCTTGTCATTAGGCAATTAGGATACACGAGGGATCCCCTTAGGGCTTTGAAATTCACACGGTCATGAGGCTAGCCCTGGTACAGAGCCCGTGCTGGAGAAGGAAGCTGCCTGGTGGCACTTCGGCCCTCCATGCTGGTTTACTGGTTTCAGGGCAGAGGAAAGGACCAGCCATTGACAAGGCTGAACAAGGGGTGTGTTAGCTGAGGCTGGGATGTACTTGCAGGGCTGTATGAGATGTTCCAGCTTTACTGAAGTCCCATTACAGAGTTGCTGGAATAGATAGAATGATCAGGATTGTGGATATTCCTCCCTGCAGCAGGGCAATGCATGTTTTCTGCTCGTGGTGTTCTCCTAAGACTTTTGACCAGCAGTACAAAACTCCACTGCTGCCCACCAATAAGAGAGAGTTTGAGGTCCACATAGTCCCGTTTACACCTGCCCAAGACTCACAATAGCTGCATATTGAATAGAGAGCCAGTGTGGTGTCGTGGTTAAGAGCGGTAGACTCGTAATTTGGTGAACCGGGTTCGCTTCCCCGCTCCTCCACATGCAGCTGCTGGGTGACCTTGGGCTAGTCACACTTCCCTGAAGCCTCTCTGCCCCACTCACCTCACAGAGTGTTTGTTGTGGGGGAGGAAGGGAAAGGAGAATGTTAGCCGCTTTGAGACTCCTTCGGGTAATGATAAAGCGGGATATCAAATCCAAACTCTTCTTCTAGTACGTGCAGGTGTTATACCCCAAGAGTCACAACCCGTCTCTCACAGATTGCTGTTTGCTTTATTGGGCTACAAAACTTAACCTCCTATATCTCTTTCCCCCCCACGTCCAGGTAGGAGCTGCAAACAAGCACCAGAATAAAACTGCTCCCAAGACTCCCTTAACCCCAAGGCAAAACAGGATGGCTCTTCCCCAGATTCCCAAAGGAGGCAAGGTCTTTGGTGAGGCTCTGGTGTCTGACACTGCCCCACCTGCCACTGGCAGGATTGCAGAGAGCCTGGCGCTGGGCTAATGCTCTCTTGCTGGTAGCTGGAAGGAGGCTGGGCTGCTGTGAGGGGAATGCAGCAGGTTCTAGGCTGCTTAATGTTGGGGCTTCCATTGGGTCCCTGGCCTCTGTGGAGGGCACAGAGATCATATCAGGGCTTTGCGGGGAATGCAAGCCAGAACAGAGGGAGCAGGGAGCACCTGTGTTCCTCAGAGGAAAGGGGCGCAGGCTGGTGCTGACATTCCCCAGGGAGTCTTGTATCAACCACATCCTTTCCCACATCGCCCTGCCTCAGGAATCCCCTGTGCACCCAGCCCAGTGCAACACTTGAGCCAAGTGCTTGAGTCTCCTGCCTCGTTCCTCACTAACACTTGCTCTACTCCCATTTCTCTTGCCTCAGAGAAACCAGGCCAGAAGCTGCCAGGCCTCCCCCATGCCAAAGCAGCCCCTTTGGGCACTCCCGACATGGCGCCCTGGACTGGGCCCTCTCAGTCCGAGACCTCCTTCCATGCCCTTTTCAAGCCTGTGGTGTCCTTCTTGCACAGTGTCCCTTTCTCGGCAGCAGGAACTCCCAGCTCCTGCAGCTTCTTCCAAGACCACCTGGGAGAGAAGGCGCCGGCTGCCGAAGGGGAGCAGCGGCCGAGGACCCTGCTGCTCCAAGGCAAGGCGAAGCAGAAGGCAAGCCGGAGCAGAGGCTCGCCCAGGCACTTCCGGAGCAAGTGGCAGGGGGTGAAGCTGCCGCCCGTGCCCAGCATCACCAACCTCAACTTCAGCCGCAATTTCACCTTCTCCTTCTTTGAGCTGCCTCCGCATCAGGGCCCCCAGTACTGGCTGCAGCGACAGCAACTCATCCGCTTCCTGATGAAGCAGCTGCAGTAGTGAGCCCTGGCCTATCTCTGGGGCGCTGGGTGCGAAACAAGAGGGACAGCCACCAGGTGCAATGGGTGGAATGGGCCTCTCACGGGAAGATACACTAAATTCAGCCTAGAGCCTTGGAGAAAGCGACCTCCTGGTTATAGTGAGGCCCACAGAAATAAGATACGCACAGCCCCCATTCAATCAGCTTGCCTCTCTGCTCCACAATGAAGCTGCTGACAGGAGACGCCGGACAGTTTGTCAACGCTGGCAACATCTGAGTCCTCTTCCCCTCCCTTATCCTTGTCCTAAGCCGCAAGCTGATGCTGCAGACATGAGCCTCTGCCCACCCTGGTATGCACAGAGCAAGTCTTTGCAACCGCCATGGACAAGAAACGCCCGCTGCTCTAAGCAACAACTTTGCCTTCTGCCCAAACGGCAGGCAGACATCTGTGTTTGTGTGAGGCTATGCAACTTCGTTTACAAGCTTTCTTTTCTGATATGGGTGCCAAAGATTTTCTGTATGTGGGTAGGGCATGGCCTAGATGGGGTGTCAGTCAGCTCAGAACAGAATAAAAACAACCAGTGAACCACCATTTGCATCCATCCTCTGTGCTTTCTTTTGGATTGCTCATATGCCAGCTTTTGTTGTGCCTTCGATCCGCTGTGAGCAAAATGGGAAGGATAAAAGCAATGCTTACAGTGCTTAACCTGTGTGCTCCCCCGGGGGGGGGGGCGTTTTTAGCCTACATGTTCCTAACTGGAATGTTGCAACTTTGGCTCCACAAAGAATTTCAGCAGGCCCCCCCACCATCCGGAATGCAGGCGAAGTCTGTGCCCGCTCTCCTCTCCAGCATTGCGATCAGGTCGCTTTGGTTCAAGTCCAAAACATTGCATGTATCTGGGCCAGGCTGAGCTGTGATGGGTGATTGTCCAACAGCAACAGTACCACACGCACCCTCCCCATTCTTGGTCATGTGACTGTGCTGTCCATCGCTCCTCACAACAGAGCTGGCCAATGGGAGGGCCGGGGCAGGTTGCCTGTAGTCACCCCTGCAGGCTTGCTCAGATCTGGCTCAGAGGAGGCAAGTGGAGGGTGGCCAGGGCACTGCAGAACACTTCTCTCACTGCTCTCATCAGCTGCAACCGGGCAAACATCTGACCGAATAAGTGGGGACGTGGTTCCTGTTGGGAGCGAAAACAGGATTGTCACAGGGGCCTGGTGCAACAGCTCTGAGGGCTGAGTGGCGGATTTGTGCCTTCCCTTAATGGGTGCAATTTTCCATTAGAGCCCATGGACAGGGTCCCCTTCATCGTGCAGAGGGCGCTGTGTAGACCTGAATTTCGTGGGAACAAAGGCTAATGTGCTGGGAATTATGTTATTGACAACTTTCTATGTTATGACAGTGGTGTCAGTGACGGCATCAGCTGACTCTGAGTTATTAAATTGATGCCTGTCACTCTCACTCAAAGGCAAATTACACTTGAGGCTTGAGGCTCATAAAGCTGATCCTTTTGTCTACCTCTTCACCTTAGTTAACGTTTTGAAAATATTAGTACATCCTAAATGGAAGCTTCTAGCTAGCAAAGCTTCAGAAATGAGCTTCACATGGTGGGAACAGAAGTCTTTGGAGCCTTCTGCTCCAAAACGAAAGGTAAAGGTAAAGGGACCCCTGACCATTAGGTCCAGTCGTGACCGACTCTGGGGTTGCAGCGCTCATCTCGCTTTATTGGCCGAGGGAGCCGGCGTACAGCTTCCGGGTGATGTGGCCAGCATGACTAAGCCGCTTCTGGCGAACGAGAGCAGCGCACGGAAACACCGTTTACCTTCCTGCCGGAGTGGTACCTATTTATCTACTTGCACTTTGACGTGCTTTTGAACTGCTAGGTTGGCAGGAGCAGGGACCGAGCAACGGGAGCTCACCCCGTCACGGGGATTTGAACCGCCGACCTTCTGATCGGCAAGTCCTAGGCTCTGTGGTTTAACCCACAGCACCACCTGCGTCCCTTCCTCTTTATCACGATTCTTGCAGAAAAAATATATGCAGAGGATATAAAATAGAGCGGGGCTTCTTTTTTCCACTAGGTATAGTACAGCCTTAGCATGGGTGACTGAAGATGCCAACACAGCCTCCTGACTCAGAAATAAATAAAATATGCCAAGTTATGCCCAAGCTGCACCTCACTCTTTATGAAAATGGTTAAACAAACAAGGAAGCCAAAGTTCACCATAGTTTCCTGTTCTGTCCGAACCAGGAAACCATGATTGATGGTTTCTAAGCAAGCAAAGATATGAAGCTGCTCAAAGATGGGTTACAGATTGTGGCTTATTTGGAAATCATTAACTGTAGTTCCAAGTTCAGACACAACAGGAAACCACCGTTAATTTCAGTTTCCTGGCTTAAAGGAGGAGCGAAATAGCTGCCAAGGAGGTGGACAGAACTCAAGACCTTTTCTGGCATACGAAGTCAGGGGCCTGCAAACCTGAAGCTGGCCACTCCCTAGGCTTCGCAACTCTACAAAGCCGAGCCTTGAATCCAGATTTTATGGATTCAAGATCAGTATGTTTCAAAAGGAGCCTATTACAAGCTTACCTGACTTGTAGCGAATGCACCTTTCGGGCCAGATGTTCATTATGTGGAAATAGCCTGAGCCGATGCAGTGTGGACTTGCAACTCAATGTATACCCAGCGACTCTCCTCCCAGAGCACTTACCCCTAGGATATGCACCCGGTTGTAGTAGGAACTGAAGTCCATGCTCAGCTGGATCAGGAACTTGCAAATCTGCAACACAAAGCAGAGTGATGCCAGATTCACCTATGGCTAAGAGGAAGCCAAGCTGATAAAGGGGAGGGGGGAAGGCAGCCCAACAGCCCCACCTCACAATATCTGATAACTCAGCTCACCGCCTCCGTGCTGGCTGTGACTCTGAGCCCAGCGCTGGAGATGGGCACCTGCATCACTTGGCTCAGGATCTCCTGGAAAGGCAGGATACTGTTGAACAACAAAAGCCATTCGCCCTGCAGAAAGAGAAGAAACATGTGGGAGTCTCAGTAGGCCAGCCTTCCCCAACCAGATGTTTTGGACTACGACTCCCATCATCCTTGACCACTGGCCGTGATTGCTGGGGCTGATGGGGGTTGTAGTCCAAATCATCCTTAGACCTATACTCATCCCCCAGTTTGTTAATCGGCAAGAAGGGAACCAAGCAATGAGATTTCGGACACAAGAAGCACAAGCACCTGACTGTGGTATAGAAGCACACGGCGATCTGGATTCCGTGAGCTGATTTGTGCAAGGCAGGTGTCTTGAGGCCTGTTTTGTAGCAGAAAGTTTGGACAAGGCAAACGTTTTCAGGGCGCCCCGAGACATCTTGGCACCCGAGGCAAAACACCTTCCTGCTGCACCCACAATGTTGGGAGGGCGTGAGGCTCTGCAAGGACTTCCCTTCGAGGAAAAGCCCTTGCAAAGCCTTGCCACCCTACCAGGCTGGGGGACTGGGGGGGTTAGATTTGCTAGGGGCAGCAAAGATGGATAGTGGAATACTCGGCTGCTCTCCTGCGGCCAAAGCCTCCCTTACCTGGGTTGCTCCTGCAGGGGGCAGCACAGAGCATCTGTAGGGGAACTGCTTCTTGCCTTTCCGCTGCCTGAAGCGGTTGCTTCACCCCGCTTCATGGGTGGGCCGGCTCTGCATATTTTAGACCCTCCTCCATGCTTTCTAGCGGTTGCCCTAACTTGGCTCAACTTGCCAAATGATCAAAACAAAAAAAATTCCTTCCAGTAGCACCTTAAAGACCAACTAAGTTAGTTCTTGGTATGAGCTTTCGTGTGCATGCACACTTCTTGTTTTGACTATGGCAGACCAACACGGCTACCTATCTGTAACTTGCCAAATGATGTTTGTGTTCCCAACAAATCCAGCTGATCCTATAGGAGCAGCCCTGCAGGCCTAGATCGTTATGCAGGTGGTGACCATTTCACACAGGGGTTCCATTTCTGGCCCCTGTGCTTGTCAGCGGAGCATGTATAAGTGCGCCCTGCCCCCGTTCTGCCTTCTTCCAGGACCAAAAGGACCCACGCACTGAAAACCACGCATCAATTGGATGTGCCTAAAATGGTCGCCGACTGTATTCTTTTGTTTACCTCTTCCCTGAGAGATGCGTAGTTCAGCTCCGAAGGTTGAGGAAAGGCTGGGTACAGACCTGGAATTGGGTGGGAGAAATTTGTTACCATAGGAGCATCTTAGGCAAAAGCCTTTCAGGGGATGCAATGATAGCCATACGGGGGGATTCACATTTCCTGCAGTGAAACTCCAAACCTGCCAGTTACAGAGAGCCATGCAAATTAAACCAACATTCCTAAATTTGCTCAGTTTTTTTTTTTTTTTTGGTAATTATTCCCAACTGCAACTAAAAAGTGGGAGGGGAAGCTGCAATATTTAGGAGTTCTAAAGGGCAAAATAAAGGGCTGCGTGGCATTTTGGAGAGCAGCAATAAACCAGGATGCGTAAAAGGGAAAAGGAGCTTGGGCCGTGGAGCAAGACAAAGAGTTATAGGCAATGCGAGCTCTGCTCTATGGTAGACCCACTGAAATTAATAGACTTGACTAACCTAGGTTCACTAATTCCAGCAAGTCTACGCTGCGTAGAAATGAGCTGAAGGAAGTGTGTGGGCACACCATCCCTCAACCGCTTTGCCCTTCTGGGTTCTAAGTCTGGGATACACTGCGTGCAAGTTTCAAAATCTGCCTCTGTAGTCAGGAGGGGTGTGTGTGTGTGTGTAAAGTGTCACAATTCAACACATGGCGAACGTTTTAATATCAGGTACCTTTCTTAATATCAGGTACCTTTCTGGACGCGGGTGGCGCTGTGGGTTAAAGCCTCAGCGCCTAGGACTTGCCGATCGAAAGGTCGGCGGTTCGAATCCCCGCGGCGGGGTGAGCTCCCGTTGTTCGGTCCCAGCGCCTGCCAACCTAGCAGTTCGAAAGCACCCCCGGGTGCAAGTAGATAAATAGGGACCGCTTACTAGCGGGAAGGTAAACGGCGTTCCGTGTGCTGCGCTGGCTCGCCAGATGCAGCTTGTCACGCTAGCCACGTGACCCGGAAGTGTCTGCGGACAGCGCTGGCCCCCGGCCTATAGAGTGAGATGGGCGCACAACCCTAGAGTCTGTCAAGACTGGCCCGTATGGGCAGGGGTACCTTACCTTTACCTTTACCTTACCTTTCTGAATGCTTTTAACCAAGCCAAGGATCCATAGTTTCTGGCCACCTGCTACAAATCACTGGCCAATGCAAGGGACCCTCCCTGCTCCAGAAAATTCATTATGATAACAACCATGGCAGGCTGGCTGCTCCTAGTCCCAGGACCGACGGGACCCCACAAGCATGAAGCACAACAGCTCCACAAGCAAGTTGTTTGCTTGAATCCTAAATCAGGCGATTTAAGTACTACCCCAGCTTCTAAGGGAAGGTCCAGGTCAATTGTCAACCAATTCACAGAATCGTGGCCGCCATGGCACAGCCTGCGTGAAGATGGGAGGGCTCTCACCTTGCTCTACGGCCCGTTGGTACGTTTCAAAGAGTGTGGCCAGCCGAGCA